TCAACAGTGAGGAAACCCTGTCCAAACTCGAGAGGAGGGGAAAACAGGCATCAGTTGTTTCTCCTAATGGAAAGCTCACTACCAGACGGATGGAGGAGGAGCACATGCGTTAATTTATTAGTGTGTGAGAATCACTGAAAACTGTAAACAAATATGTTTTGAAATATTCATAAACACATGTTGTGCACTTGAGCTGTATTGCTAATTAATGTATCCCTTCAAAGGAAACATAGGAATTATGTAAAGAATTCTTAAACAATGCAGATAGCACCAAGGTGTCAGTATCTTGTGCAGAGTACTTATGGTACTTACACTGCTGCTCTTATTCCCCTGACTTTCTCCAGGCACAAAGTAACCAAGCTAATATGCTTGGAAAATTAGAGTTATCTTCAGATGTCACCCATTTTTAATGAACTAAAGAATGCACCTACCTTTTCCTAGGCGTGTTTGTCATGTCGTATTAATTCAAGTATTTCAAAATGAAGAATACCATGAGATATGTGCTTGAGTGACGCTTCATGAAGTGATTGAGAACTTGTTTAATGATTGGTTAATTTCACTTATAGAAATGTTAATTCAGCATTGGATGAAAGCTTCCTAGTTTTTGAGTCTGTCTAGAAGTACTGCTTATTATCTTAAACTGCTTACTTTTTACTGAACATTTCAATATTCTGTAAATTATTATTATTATTACAAGAAGCAGTAAGACACTTATTTTTGGTTCTGCTTTTGAATGTCATGGATCTTTAAATGCCAGTGTTGATATGCGCAGATAAGAACACATTAAATGGCAAATTTTAAATATGTTTTATGTAAGTAAATTTAGTGCTGGACTCTTGAAGAGTTTGGATTCTTCAGTCTGTAATTACATGTATTTTAGGTGTATGTAGAATGTGCCTTTCTGGATCCATAAGGTGGTATTTGCTTAAGTTTTGTGTAATCTGAATAGCATAGGGATTGAGAAGAGGTACATCAACTCAATCTGTGCAATGAAATTATAGAATGATATAGAACACAAAATTTACAAAGGTAAGTGTGCGAATGATAGTCTCGGCTATTGTAGTGGAGAATCATTCCTGAAAAGTTCAGTTGGTCTCTGCAGGAGAAGGAATTAAACTGAGGAGAGACAGACTTGCTGTGAGTAGGTGGCATGTATTCAGAAATGTAGACAGAACAGTGATAGTGGAACCTGGCTACGCATGTCAAGTTGGCAGATACTGTGTGACTTTTCAACAGGCTAAATATTAGTATAGCTGTTGTCACTCAGGAAAAGGCTTTAAAATCATCATAGACAGCTGTCTGAAAACTTCAACTTCCAGTACTTGCTATCAAGCAAGTAAAAAGAATTAAAGGAATTATGAGAGTTGAGTGATACGGGGAAAAATCATACTATTATGTGATTCCATGGTATGCACAGGTTTTGAATACTGGTTACAATTCAAGTCAGTCTGATTAGAAAAGAATTGGAAAAGATACTGTGTATGACAGTAATAGTAACTCTTGGATAAAGAGGAACTGAAATTGATTAGCTTGGAAAATTTCTGAGGAAGGGAAATGATAGGGAAATGTGCTGGGAAAGAGTAGAGAAATTATGGCTTCTTGTTTAATCAAGAAAAAAAGATTTCATGAAAAATTCAGGTACTGAGCATAAACCCAGTCTACTTTCATGCTGTACTTTCCTGAATTACAAAACTGCTTTTGCTGCGGGTTGTTGTGAAGACCACAGGTAAATGACTTCAAGGGATTTGGATGAGATAGTGGAGGATAAATTCCCAAGTGGCTATTACAACACCTTATGTAAAAGCCTAAGCAAGCCACCATCTGTAGGAAGCTGGGAGGATGTACCACAGAAAAATTGCTGTTGTCTTTTTTTTTTTTTTTTTTTTTTTTTTTTTTTTTTTTTTTTTTTTTCCTCCTGCTCTTCTTACCTCTCTTCTCAAGCATATATTTCTTACTGGTGTGGAAACTGGATATTGTACCAGGCAAACTTTGGCCTACTCTTGTGCTGAAGTTAGTATGTTCTATGGAGGAACCAAGAGTTGTAAAATATGTTGGTGCCTAAGTGTGGAAGTGTCCTACAAACAAAATATGCATATAGGTGCAGATCCACCTTGCTCATTTTCTTTGACATGTTTTGAATGCCATGGGAAGTCCCAGTTAGATGGGATGGAACCCTGATCACAACTGGCAGCACAAAAGGCACAAGAAGAGAATTTATTAGGCACTAGGAGGTACTTTGAGAAAGCAATAGTCTAGGGAAAGGAGATGAGCTCTGTCTTGAAGTAAATATAGGCTATTGTGATGTGACATCAGCAAGATCTAATTCTTTAAACCGAAAGGAGTAGTAAAGCTAGCAGGACAGAGAAGCAATTAAATCATCTGTTCCTATTATATAGTATTACAACAGCCATTGTGTCCAGTAAGAATATCTTGAAAACTACAGCTGGACCAGAAGGGAAGCAGGATAAGAACATAGATAAGAATTCTGAAAAAATCAACAGGCTTGCAGATGAAGGAAGTGAATTTTTAAAAATCCATCAAGAAAAAATAAATGTTGCGTGCTTGCTCTCTCTCAATATGGATATAAATTATAGATATGCAAGAAGCTAAAAAACTAAAACCAAGGAACTAGTGTCTTATACTCGATGAATGTCTTGATGGAACAAGCATTGCAGACTACTGGTTGGATAATAAAAGAACAGAATTGAAGCATTACTTAAAAATTATGCATTCAGACTTCTAGCTGTGTGTACGCACCCAAACAGATTAAACTTGTCTCTTTGTGTGCCTTAGAGAAAAAATATGATAGTTGACCAACCGTTTCATGAAATGTTACTTTCTAGAATATACAAGCAAAAAAATATTATTTTTGCTCAAGGAATTTAAAGCACAAATTTAGTTAGATTAATCCAGAATTGCAACACTTAGCTATTTTTGGAAGATGTCTAAATTCAGTAGGCATATCCTTGTTTAACCTGAAAAATTTCTGAAGTACTGTAAGTTGTCTGTCTGTTTCTCAGAGCAAAGAGGAGTCTACCACACGATGAAGTAGGGAGGGGGAAAAAAAAAAAAGCCCAGATACCACAGTAGAGCATCTCTGTCTCCAGAGCAGCCCAGTTAAAGTATTCAAGGTTTAAACACTCCTACTAAACAGTGACTGGATCAGACTTCTCAGAAAATGCTGTTCCAGCATGTTCCATTCCTTTTGTGCAGGAAGAAATTGAATGGTAGTTGGATAAAACACAGAATACCCTGGGGCTGTAGGGTCTCCAACTGAGAATTCTCCCATATTAAACAAAGAGAATCTCAATCCTAGCTTGTTCTTATCTACCAGTGATTTTTTGGTATTTCTTTATTTACAACTTCTGGAAGAGGAATGCAAATTGTTTCTATCTGTGATAGTGTGTAGCACATTCGGAGCATTCTTTTGAAGACGTGTGAAACCCCTTTCAGCTGTGGAAACCATTGAATCATTGAAGCCATTTTTTGCCCTGTGCCACCAAATTTTACCTCTTGGTGCTTTCTGAGGACACCAGTGAATGAGGCTCAGGTTTTTTGAAAGGACTGTTTAGGTATATATTTACAAGAGAAAACTATTTGCTACAGATTTGGAAAGCTAAATGGTAGGTATAAACGTTTATTGAAGGAAGGCTTACTAAAATAGCCTTGATGAAGCCAGTAAAGAGACACATGAACTGTCGAGGCATTAAAAAGGAAGAATTAAGTTAGAAGAGCTGATAATGAATTAATTGGTATAAATTTCCCAACAGTATGAAAGTTAAGTGCTTTCTGTAATTTGATAGTTGTAACAAGATTCCTGGTTTCTTGGTAACTTAAAAGGCACGTTTGGTGACTGTGGTGCATCAGAGGCGTTGTGTATTGATCTGATAATCTAAGGTGCATTCAGTTACTGGGCTGTGATGGTAAAAAGCCAAGAAATTTCATAAACTTCTGAAGTTTTAAATGGAACCATGTACCGTTATGGAAGTCTACCATATAGATAATTTTGCATCTGTAAAGGTAGTTTGAAGAATTATGGAACTATAAACTGCTTGTATTCCTTAATGGATTCTGAATTAACAAAGAAAAAAGATCTGGGGTAATGGTGTGATTAGCAGAATGGACACTCATTCAGTGAGTAGCTGTGGGCAAAAAGATAGCAGTGTGATAGGAAAAATTACTGGAGTGGAGTGAGCAAGTGTGTGTGTATGCATAATAAAGATTTATTTTTTTAATGTTGTTTACTAGAATGGCTGCTGTAATGATGATGACTCTATTATGCATAGTAGAATAAAGTAATAATGAGAAGCTTGGAGAACCTCTGCTTCCTAACATCCTTCACCTTTTCCCCTCTTCCCCTGCCCTTTAAAGAAAGACTTGTAAATTATGTGATAATTTAACTTAGAAAAGAAGTGAGGAGGAATGGATGCAAAGTTTATACAATATAAATAATAAAAGGGAAAGTATGTTAGAAGGTTAAGTCCTTGTCTGATACAGGGGTGTGCTACACCATGAAATTAAAAAATCAAGAGTCAATTGTAATTGCCTGATTTTTCTGCAGAGTATTTTATTAGTTATGTTATTGCTTGTCACAGTAAGTTGTTAAGCCCAAATTGTGAAGACAGTTTTAAAAAACATAAATTCTGTGAGTACCAAACCCAGAATTAAGATTTTTGATGAGTAAAAAAAAAGAATATAAATAACAGCAGTCTAGTAGAGATGGGAGGAGAATTATTTTAGATAAATGATTGCACAAATGCCTGCAGTCAAGTTCTTGTTATCCTACAGTGTGGTTTCCTCTGATTCATATTAAATGGTATAGTGTACTCAGTAGACAACTGTTATTTTGTGTTTTGGTAGTGCTGTAACACTGTAATGGTTAACATGGCACTTAAATCAGAAGTAGGAATACAAATCTTCTCAGTAATTATGACTGTCTCTGTTTTGCTCTACAGTATATAAAAGTTTTTTTGAATACTTTTTTTTCCTCCTCTTCTAAGGATTATGTACTGAAGGCCTGTACCGTGTTAGTGGGAATAAAACAGATCAAGACAACATTCAGAAACAGTTTGATCAAGGTAAAAACATGTTTTATTATTTAAAGCTGAAACAGAACTTGAATTCTCCATGGATTTATCACGGCGTCTTATGAAAGGGTTGAACTTTCAAACTGTTTTACAGAGCCCTGAGTATTTAATGCTCTGGTAGGTTGCATTGGTGTAGTCCAGGTTATTAGCAGTGAAGCTGTGTTTAAACCAAAGATGGTATAGAATCCTGTTGCAGCTGGCTTTAAGTGCTGTTAAATATTTTCTAGGTGGTATTCTGGTGTTTAAAATAGAGTTTAGATGCAGTACTAGCTGCTCCTTGTGTTAAGAGTTCATAAATATTAGGCGTTAAGTCATTCACCCCTCTTATCCCCCCCAAATGTAGTACTTCTTGATACTTATTTTAATGAAAGCTATCGTGAATAATATGGTTAACAATTAAATCTTGATAATAAATTTCTTACACAACCTTTTCCATGCTAGAATATGCTGGAATATGATTGGTAGGTTATGCTATTCACTTTGTGTTAAAAGAGAGGGTCAGTGTTTTTTCTTTTCCTTCTGCTTTCTTATGTAATTCATGATCTCTGTTGATATTTCAAAATTAAAACACTTCTTAAAAGTTCTTGGATATTAATCATGAAGTTGAACCTGTGAAAAATAGTAAATTTTCTCCAAATGATAAGAAAATAAATGTACTATTTTTTTATGCCTCACTATGCTGTTTCAGATAATCTGAGTATGATGCTAGGTTTTCTTCAGTTACCTTATTAAAAGATGTTCCAGAGTCACCACTCAGGTGGAGTGGACTTTTGAAAAATAAACTTAGCATTTTCAAAATTTCAATTTTTAATTACTTGAAGTTCTGAAGCTTACTTCTAGCCTTGGTTTAAAAATTATGTAGCATGAATTTATTATAAATTTCAATTTAAAAAATATCTTTACTTGTGAAACTAAGCTTCTGTTATTTGGGAATCTAGCAGTAGATTGTATGGCCATGTGTGGTCACTCATATGTGTTGTTCTTTTTTAAATGGCTTCATGAGGTCACATGAACACAATCACATGACTTCTTCAAATTAATGTGTACTGTACCGGTTTTTAACAGCATTTTGGGAAGTAGAATTCCAAACTTATTATTGGGCAAATGTGATTAATCAGGAGCCAATTAGTGGCAAATAGAAAAGAATTTTAAGTCTGCATGGAGAATTAGGCAACTTTATTTTTCTGATCTTATAGTGTTTTCTTATACTGTGAGATTTTCTTTATATTTGATTTCACGTGGGTCAGAGTGATGGCAGCTTATCCATAGCTTCACCTTTTTGTGCATTTTTTAACAAATGTTTGACAACATTTTCATTTTCAGTGTTTTGAATAAATTCTTATTTTCATAAAATATTATGAGGAATGATAGATGTGGGTTTTACTTACACTGCTGTTCAATTTTGTTTTACAGATCATAATATCAGTCTTGAGTCTATGGGAGTAACAGTAAATGCAGTGGCTGGGGCTCTTAAAGCTTTTTTTGCAGATCTGCCAGACCCATTAATTCCTTACTCTTTGCATCAAGAGTTGTTAGAAACATCAAGTAAGTAATAAACCATTTTGTCTTGATCTAATTACATTATCTTGATAATCCTTATTGCAATCTTTACTTCATTGTAATTTGAAAGGGCTAGCTGCACTGAAATACTTTGAAGGTTGCTTAGACATGTACATTTTTTAATATTCTTTAAAATTAACAGAACTATATGATGAAATAAACATGATATGGGTTTTTTTCTAAATAAGTTGTGGCTTATTATTTCTCCTTTTACTGGAAAATTTAATTGGAAAAATCTACTTTTCTTTTTTTCCATTCTGGATTAGTGCTGCATATGATGAAAGCTCTTCAAACTGTATTGCCGTTGTTAACAGGGATAAAACCCCTTGAATTCATAAAGTCTTACATTCAAAGTAGGCTTTAGAAATCAGACACATCTATGGAATATTATGGTAATTCTCATTTAGATTTTTTCAAATTCTTTTTGGACCCTTTATAAAATGAAATGCTTAATTTTGCCTTACAAACATTTTTCAGATACTTCAAAGTGAAATGACTAAATTGTTCCCTTCTTTTAAAGGGTATCTATCTTGTATTGGCACTAAACTGTTTCAGAAAAAGACTACTACGCATTTTTGCAGGATGCAATTGTGACATACAGTATACTTAACACTTTTTTGTTCAAAACATGAAAATACTCGTGTAAACCTAAGGCTTGGGCCTGGACTTGATTAATATACAGTACACTAGAAATTTTGTCTTTTTGGATGATATCTGTAGATACTTCTTTGTGGTACTTCTGCTGTACATTTCAGGAAGGTTGATTGTTTAATGTAATTAGTTAGGGGGTTTTTTTCTTAAAAGTATATAATTTAAATTTCGGTCAAAAGATGCAATAGCTTAGAATGTTGACTTACTGTTTTAGACTACCATTAATACTGCTTTGAATTTCTATTTGGGATATATCAGAGCATATTTAACATTGTTTCTACGGTACTAGGGTACATCAAATTTCTTTTTAGCAGTGCAGTCAAGTAATAGAGATGAGCCTGTATTCCTTTTTATGATATGAATCATCATGGAATAGAATACATATGGTTCTACAGAACTTTAGTGGTATTTTCTGCAAGTGTTTTAGCATCAGCATTTGTTGTGTGGTTGTTTTTTTTAAATCGTTATTTTATTCCATAGTTTTTTCTTAGACATTACTTATTCTCTCTTTGAAGCGTTAATAATCTCCCTTGGGCCTGTGACAATCCCTGTTCTCATTTAAAAATATATTTAAAATAGCCACACCAGGCTAATTCATATTTTTTAAAAAATTGAGTGACTGATAAGCTTAAGATATTCTAAGTTAATGTGAATGTCTTCCTTCCCCCAAATCTTTATGAAACTTCAGTCCCAATAAATCTTAGATATATCTAAGTCATAACATTTTGCAAGCAGAGGAAAATCTAACAATGATTAGATTGACTGTCACATTGTTAGTTACCCTTCTACAACCCATCAATGAGCTGATCAAGTGATTCCTTGTTGTTAAACACAAATATTTCTGCATAAATACAGAAAAATATTTTTGTGTTTTTATAGTTACCTCTATAATAAAAAAGTTATTCTTTGCAATTCTGTATGCAGATAAGAATTTTATCAAATATTTTATCACTTGATATTTCTCTGTGGGTATATTATCTGTGCCATTATACTAGGAAAAAGTCTTAGCAACACTTTATTCAGTATGTCTTTCTAGATGTGTCAAAAAATGTCACTTATTTCTGTAGAAATCATGGAGAAGACGGAACGGCTACATGAATTAAAGGAAATTGTGAAGAAATTCCACCCAGTGAACTATGATGTCTTCAAATATGTAATAACGCATCTAAACAGGTGTAGTATTTTTTACTTAAAATTTGTTAAGTTGTAACAATTGCAAAAAAGATGTGTTAGTTACAACAAATTGAATACTAGAATTGAAAATTTCATGCTACATTGCTCATCTGTTAGTTTAAATGTGGAAAATGAAACTAGGAGTTTAAGGTTGATTAGAAAAGGTTTGTATATTCTGTTCTTGGATTTTATTGACTTACATCTGGCATCATAGCTACTATAAAGTTACAACGATGATTAGTGTACATAAGAAAAAAGCTTGAAAGAATGAATATGCACCACAGTTACACATCTCTCACATTTTTTTTTCCCAAGAAGTAGCTATTAAAATTATAGACTAATGTAGACACCTGTAAACCCTGCTGAATAAGTAAAATGCAGAATGAAGCTGTAAGTAACAGTACATTAGTTACACTTGCTTCCTAAATGTTGCCTCTTACGTGGAAATTGAATTTAATTAATTTTTTTAAATTATTTACCTAGTTACAAAAATAATCTTATATTAGTAGGTGTGCACATCAAGGATCAGATTATGAGGTAGTGTAAAGGTGTACAGTATTCAGTCATATAAAACAGGAAGAAAAAGACCAGTTTACTCGTGTTTCTTTTTCAGCTAAAATGGGATTATTCTCAGGAATCCACCAAAAGAGATTAACTACCCTATTAAAAAACCAAAATGCATTGACAAAGCTAAAATAACCTGTTTTTTTAAGAAATAATTTGTTATCTACTAATCTGTCACTTGATTGTGATACTACTTCTGCATTTTTTTGACAGAATCACAGAATTGTTGAGATTGTAAGGGACCTTTGGAGATTGTTTAGTCCAAGCCATTGCTTTGCCAGAGTCAACTAGAACAGATTGCCCAGGACAGTGTCCAGTTGGGTTTTCAGTATCTCCAAGGAGGAAACTCCATAGTCTCTTTGGGCAACCTGTGCTAGTGCTCAGTCAGCCTCACAGTAAAAAAGTGTTTAAAAGTGGTCAGATGGAACTTCCTTTGCTTCTGCCTGTTACTGTTCGTCCTGTCACTGGACACCATTCACGAGTGTCTCAATCCATCTTCTTTAGACACTTCTATGGGATATTTAAAACCAATGATAAGACATCCCCTGATCTTTTTCAGGCTAAGCAGTCCCAACATTCTCAACCTTCCCTTGTTTGAGACACCCATGGTCTCTTAATGATCTTTGTGTCCCTTCACTGGGCTCCCTCCAGTACATCCATGTGTCCATTGTGCTGGAGAGCCCAGAGGTGGACCCCATACTCCAGATGTGGCTGAGTAGAGGAGTAAGATTACCTCCCTAGACCTGCTGGCAGCACTCCTAATGCCACCTAGGATGCTGTTGGACTTCTGTGCCACAGGAGCACATTGCTGGCTCATGTTTAGTTTGTTATCCAGGACTTTCAGGTGCTTCTCTGCAGTGGTGCTTTCCAGCCAGGCAATTTAGTGTATATAGGTTGTTAAATTGTTCCAGACTAGTGTGTGTGGTTGTGTTATTGCAGGTATTTGTAATGATCTAACTGGGCACATAATGGAGGGTTGGTGATTGATATTTTTGCAGTGTGTCCACAAGTGTAGGACTCGGTTATTGAAACAAAAAAGTACAAGTATTATCCAGTTGACTTTGCTATTGAAATACGAGAGGCCAATAACCATGAGAATTTAATAAATGGCAAATGAGACGAATTTTTCTTTAGTGTGATAAGCACCTTTCAGAGCATACTAGCTATCTAATTGTGGTTGATTTAACTGTAAGCAGAAGTGACTTTTAAAGATGGAGTTGAAACAGGACAGTATTGGATTGACATTGGCTTTTTTGATATTGGTTGTGGGTTTTTTATTTTTATTTGAGGATGACTGCCTGTATACAGTAAGGGCTAATATGGCATTATATGCTTCTGAAGTCTGGGAAAACATAGGTGTACAGCTTTTAAAGTCTTATCACGGAGCAGGTTTACAGCCTGAAGTTCCTGAAGAGTTTGCAGTGGATGAAGGTGTCAGGAACAAGAGAAACAGACTTTTCTTTTTTCATTTTGCGTGAACATAAAAGAAGGTGAATAGACATTTGCTAAGCACTTACAAGAAGACTCTGAAGTAGTTTGGGAAAGTTTGGTAGGAGATGCCATACAGGTTGGTAGGCTTTTGTTTATGCTGAGACAGGACAGAGGTAAAATTTAAACACAGGAGAGAATAAAGTTGGTTGTTATGTTTAATCTAGTTGTGAGCTGCAGCCAGGAAAGAGTGGCAGTGCTCTTCTCCATTTCTCACTTGTAGCCGTAGGTTTCCACTGCTTCATTTGTTGGATCTAATGATTATGCAGCTGCAGCATGTTCTAAAGGAAAGCAGAAATAGGGGAAATGTAATTTTCTGTAGAATACACTAGCTGATGTCAGACACCCTGTGGCCACCATGTGTTCTGATGCCAGAAAGTTGATGGAGAGGGAGAAGGAAGAGGGGAAGAATGACACTTCACCTGTTGTCCACAGCAGCAGCAGTCTTACAACTAGATCAGATAAGATTTAAGAATATGAGAGAGAAGCAAGCAGTGAACGCATGACGGGGGGGAGGTGCTTGAGAAGGCCAAACACAAATCAAATCCTAGAGGTGCTTAAGGATGCCAGAGGGTGTACATTTTAGCCTATGCAACTGAAGAAGGCCCTTGAAAGATTTTTAAATTCAGAGCAAAAATGAGAGGGAAAAAAGCAGTCTGCAAAATAAATGATCTGGCTTTTATTTCCATTATATTACATAGCAGGTGCTATTTTTTCTCCAGTTTTATAACTTACCTTGTTGTAGTTTGTTCTCTAATGAAATACCGTTATAGAGTTTGAAATCCCTCTTGGTATTTTTCAGTGTACTCATTTTAGGGAAAATGTACAGGCAGTTCTGATTCAAAACTCTTGACGTTCATTGTCCCATCACAGTGTCTTACACTTAATTTTTATTTAATTCCTGTTAAGTCTTACTCATTGCTCTCTCTCAAGAGTATATTCTAGGAGGAATTTATACACAGAAGAATTCAATATAGGAAGAAAACTCTTTAATAAAAAAGCTAAGCAAAGTGTAAGCTTACATTTTTATTTCCTGGTCCTTTAATCCTTAAATGAAGTTAAAATGTAGTTCTTTCAGGAAAGCGATTACGAATATTACTGCCAATCAGAAATAGTATCCAAATATCCTTTGGACCAAAACAGATTGAGAGGCAATATTTGTGTACCCTCACACTATTTGGAATAAGTAATGCGCATGCTAAAATGGAAGTCTACCCTTTATAGTTACCCCTATACGTGCATTGTAAATGAGTGAAAATATTTTCCTATAGCATTAATTCTACTGTTTACTATGGTTTTCACAGCTTTTGAATCTATGGACTACAGCCAGCTGTCAGAAATTCTTGCAGTCTGCTCTTGTTAATCATCAGAATTGTAACTGACATGTTGCTGAAGTTTTGTTTTCTGCCTGTTTCTGCAGGACAACTGTAGCTCAGTTACCTTTGTGCCGTCTACTATAATGTAGGAATTGCATGTTCCCAGATGAATGAGTATCTTAGATGTTTGTCAGATTTATTAACACATGATTTTTCATGTATCTCTCACTAATTCTACATAAAATGATGTTGTTACTTTAGAATGCAGAGTATTTTTAGAAAACAAAATATTCTGGCTCTTTCTATCCTATTACTGTGAAAAGCAGTGTGCTCTTTCTGAGGAGGCATTTAATTGTAGATGATAAATTTGATAACAGGATAGTTTGGGGGGTTTTTTTTGTTTTTTTTTCTCTTGGAGTAGTACTGTAATAATGAATTTAGATCATAAGAACCTGTTTCAGCCCCTGCTTAAAAGTAGAAAACTTCTAGGTAGAGAAACCCAATTGGAAACCTTTGCGTTGTACAGTGAAAAGTAAACAAAAATTCTAATGTGTGTTGAGATTAGTGAAATGGTTGTGTTCTTCACAGCTTGGCCAAATTCTATTGCTGGCCAGTATAAAAAAAAAACCCAAACCTGCAGAAACGTGCCTTTTGGTTTTCTGTTTAACATGTGATCTAATGTGATGCCTTTTTCTTTCAGTGCCACAGATGTTAGTTAGTATCTGACTGATGTACAATAAGAAGCCATTTCTGTCATTTTTCCTCTAGACATTTTAATGGACAAAATTTTAATTTTATGAAATCTAATAGCTCATTGAGAAATTTAAAGTTTGTTTGTTGAGAGGGCTAGTGGAATGCTGACTTTCTTTCTTGATTAAAAGCTTAATGAGATTTATATTTATTAGCTATCCAAATCTGGAAGAGTCATAGTTTCTAAATTTTCTCCTGCATAATCACTTAAAAAAACTGCTTGTTTTAATGGATCGCTGGAGACTGTTTAATAATAATGCTTACAGTTAGAGCGCTATGAAAATACTTGTAGTGGATTGCATACTGGTTTTAATTCATTCTGTGCATGTTGTTCTCATTTCAGGGTTAGTCAGCAATATAAAACCAACTTTATGACTGCTGATAACTTATCGATTTGTTTCTGGCCTACTTTGATGAGACCTGATTTTGAAAACAGAGAGTTTCTGTCTACCACCAAAATCCACCAGTCAGTTATAGAGACCTTCATTCAGCAGTGTCAATTTTTCTTTTACAACGGAGAGATTGTAGAAGCACCGAACCCAGTGGCATGTCAGCCACCACCTTCCAACGCAGTGCAGATGGTGGAACCAATGGTACCTCTTCAGTTACCACCACCACTGCAGCCTCAGCTGATACAGTCACAATTACCAGCAGACCCTCTTGGTATTATATAAATAGAAGATGATTGCAGGCAGCCTGGCACTGGACAGTAAAGACAAGCTATAGACATGCATGTTTCAGGATACAGTAATGTACTTCATATTTATGAAAAATAATTCCCATCCAGCTGATTGGACATCTTTTTGTTATATCCCGTACTGTGTTTCTCATTTGTACACACTGCAGATAAAAACTATGTGATAAGCATGACTGGAGAGGTTTAATTTTTAAAAGCAAAAATAGCTATAAAGTACAAAGCTGCTGCTGCATGATACCTTATTGCAATCACTATATCATTCCTGTGACGGTTTGTCACAATATATTGTGAATAAAATTTTTCTATAGAAATTTAATGATTTAAAAAATTACATTTATGAAACATTCAATGCTTACAGCCTGCTTTATGGCTGTTTTTGTTATTTAACATGCTATTTTTGGCAGTTTTATTCACATTCAAGCATTCTGTGTAAACAACTAAACCCCAGCTATAGTTTATTTCATAATCTCCTGGCTACTTACGTGACGGTATGCTTAGGATGGTTTATGGAAGAATGCAAAATGCACTGTTGAGAATTTTACAGTCCCTCACCATTCATCTTTACTTGTAAGTAAACCTGTGGACAGTTTGTTAAGGGTGGGTGAATTTGCTTATTATTTCTTACAGCACAATACCAAGGACATGCTTGTTGTAAAAGTGAGTTTCAAATATTGTACAAAAATTTTGATGTTGCCTACTTATTTCTTTGTTTCATTACTGAACTAAACATTTTGTAAAACTGTTAATTCTGTAAACAGCTGCATGTTTAAAAGATCATTGATGGTCTTGTAAACTTAATCTAATATATTTTAGATATTTTAATTTTTCCCACTTGGGAATACATGTAGTGTTTAGAAAATAGTTCATGACATTTTCATATAAGGTTATATAACTTTTCATACATAAACATGAATTTTGTTGTAGTAAAATTCTCTAAACCAAACAATGTTTTAATCTAGGACTTCAATTAATCTATTCTTTAAATCTATTTTTATGTGACCCTTTAAAGATATACAAAAATGCATTGCTAATACATAGCAATAAATACTTTGGGTACTGACAATTAACCTCTTTGGAGTGTGTATATATAAAATCACATAAACTTGTATTCATATTTTTTTTCCTGTGGTATGTTGTACTAAAAATTCAAATGACTGATTTTTTTTTTTACTATGTTTTTAAATTATCTTTTTTTTTCATTTATTTTACTTTTACATTGGTACCAATTTTGCTGTAAAAGAATGCTGCTTAATTTAAACAAATCTTTTGGTTAAATATTCTGTTAGTGGTAAAAAAAAATTAGAAGGTTACAAATTGTAGCAAAGGGGAGACCATAGATAAACACTACCTGTGAGACTTTACATAGCAGCTTTTTTTCTTTCGTCATCAAAATGTACCTTTTTAGGTCTGCAGAAAAGAAAACAGTTTTGGCTCATTCAGCTGCTAGAATGTTTTGTGTAGTTTAAAAAAAGAGCTTTATGATGGTCACTGTTGTAATCTTCACTTATAACAAGATTTAAGATCGTCTTGTATGTATTATAGTAAATAGATGATTTTGAGAATTAAGGCTTTTAAGAGTTTGATTTGCTCCATTTTCCCAAAATAAAAATTGCCTTTCCCACTTATGTCCTAGGTATTGTACTTCTAATTATGACTTGGATTATCATTCTAGATTACTATGATACCATAAACCTGGCTGCTGTTTGAAGTACATGTATATTATAAATTATCTTGATATTGTGTTATATTCTTGCAAGTAATTATCTTTTCTAAGAAAACATAAACAAAAAGGAAAAGTCAACCCTATTCCTATTGCAAAGCACACAGGAATTAATAGTACAATAAAGTCTGTCCTGTAAATTGTAGTATTCTTAACTTGTTCTACTTTACCTGTTGTCTATGTAGCTTTTATTTATAGCTGTCAGTCTAATCTTGGCATGTTTAGCAAAGAAAATGAAACTTCAAGAGTTTTATAAACTATTTCTAGGTTGCTAAAGAATTTATTTTTCTACTGTATATGGTATAGACAAAGCATCACCTGTACAGGAAACAAGTCTATTTCTAATAGAAGTAAGCTTAAAAATAAATGCCAGTCATATCCGTATTTAGAAGTTCTATCTATAAAGTATCTCCAGTCTTTGTAATGTGAATTACATTTTAAACTTTCTACAAATTCCAAGTTGTTTGCCACAATATTTAACTAATCTTTGAATACTAATTTTAGATTAATTTACATTCCATTTCATGACGAACTTTCATGTTGAACTTGTGTTCAGAAGTATTTGAAGTATCATTCATTTATTTCTTGTGTATAATGTTATGGCTAAATCACTTCATGATTTTTTAAAAATCTTAATGCTTATATTTGGCCAAATGTGAAAGTGTCATTACATTTACTGGATAAAACATAAAAAGAGAAATAATAAGAAAGCATGGCATGTGGTGCTTGATTGTCACATGCAAGAGTCCCTGCATACTGTTTGCATTTTAGAAGTGTTATATGCAGGAATGTGGATGTGTGTGTGTCCTATATACACTTGGATATTTTTGATGTGTTTGTGTGTTTATGTACACAAGCACATGTGCACAGACTTGCATGCACATACACCCACATAGTAAAGTTTTAAAAAGATACTATGAAATTATACCATCGTTACTAAAGACTTTTAATAGAGCTTTCTCTATTATTATTTTTATTAGCGCTATAAAATGAGGAAGCATGTCATTATAAATGTATTCCTCATACTTTGGCTCATGTAGTCCCTTCTAGTTTTAATGAAAATTCAAACAATTAATAACTATATTTTTTAATGTGAGCGTTTTTACAGTAATATCTATCTTGATAAAGATACAAATGTATATTATTTTTGGTTGAGCATCTCAGTGACACTTTATCGAGTAGTTTGTCTTTTTTATGTAATGGTATAGACACTGCGGTGTATTGTCTTTCAATGTTTCAGCAATTTTAAAATCCCAGACCTGAGTTACAAAAGTGCCATTTTAGTAACACTTAACAGGTTACTTCAAAATTCCTTACCCTCCATGATCTTGTGGAATTTTAATATGTATAGTGTAAACAGATTGCAGATGTCAATTTAAGAAACTTTTTTGTTGTTGTATGTTTTCTCCATTATTCGAATCCTGGTTGCTAGGAAATTATAGATATGATTATTTTTAGTTGCTGGAGTTTAGCTTCCAGTATTTATGATACATATAGAAAAACTATCAATTGGAGATTAAAAAGAATTGGCCTTAGTTTACGTGCTTATTTCTTTTTTTTTTTTTTTAAGTAATTGTGTTGCTGTTTGTCAACTGAAAAAGTTACACATATAAAAAACATTAAGTCAAAATTTTGTTCTTTGTTTATAATGTAATCTTTTGTTGCTACATCAGCAGAATACTGCAGTGAATTAAATATCAGTGAAGCTTATTCTGTATAAAAGATGCAACAAATAAAATACTAAGATGCTTACTGTGTATAATGTTCAGTTTAGTTGCCTGCTAAATTTTTAAAGGCAAAAGCACCCTATCTTTCACATACCCAGAGATGAAATTTAGCAGTAAATCTTACTAAACTGAGTGCAACAAGTGTTTAAGGCATTCTGGGGGGGAGGGTGTCTCTCTTCTTGCATTTGATAATGTGTTTTAAATAGCTGAATCTTGAAAGTGTTTCTCACAGTGGTAAAGACTCTTCTGTAGGTAATGCACCCCCCCTGGATGGATACATGAATGCTCTAGGGAGCAGCCCTGGGAAGTGACAGTGTCAGATGTTCTGTTTAACTCTGCAGTGCATGTGAATTCTGTGGCTCATGTGACCTCTTACATTTTTTTATGATTGAGCTGCTCAGCAAGAAAAGCTGTGATTATGGAAATCAGTTTTTCAGATTTCTACCATGCTGAAGGAATGGGTCTCTTAAAAATAATTTTCTTACAGGATTTTTAAACCTGAAGTAAAAACTGTCTTGAGGTCATCTCTAAATTTTCAGAGTTGAACGTTACTGGTCATAATTCTGCTAACTAGATGGGATAAATACAACTTTGATAGTAGTAATGCTTTTAGGTTTTGTGCATGCAACATCTATGCTTAGTTTGTTTCTTCCAGAACATCTTAAGTCATATGGCCGATGCAGAAATAACTGCAAAAAATTCCTGACAGCATTCAAGTCTGAACACTGTTCAGGTTTTTATGATATGTCTTAACACTTGCAGATACTGGATCATTTTACTCTGGAATAGGATGTGTTTTACCTATAATTTACTTAGTGTGCAGATCTCAGTTTTTCAGAGTGCTGTATCAGAAACCATCTCTACAGAATCTGAAGCGTAACACAGTGTTCAGACTCTACAGCAGACCACAGGTTTCTGGTGAATAACTGTCCTGGAGAACCAAAGTGTAACATTAGTGTTCACTTGTGTCAGATTCAGTCCTTCAACTAACTCATAGTTTCCATGGAATCAGAAGGGATGCATTTAATCTGTCATCATGGCTAGTGAAAGCGAACACTTCCTTCCTTATTGACAAATTCTTTCCCAAGTATGTAGACGGTGCATGTTACGGCTGTTGCCCATATGCTTCTCATCTTCCCTGTAAAATACAATGCTTGTGTGTTTTAACCTGGTATTTTTGTTGCTGAATAGAGTGTCATTGATGCCTAGCCAACAGTCTGGTGCTTTTATATTACAGAATAGGGTTTAATATACCTCATTATAATAATTGTTTGTTACTGGTTTTTATTTGGTGTGTTTAGAAGATAACAGAGAATTATTTCACTGAATGCCTACAGTGCAGTAACTGTGGTTTTTCAGTCTTAAAGGGTGATAATAATGAAAGGCCATTGTTCTTCTACTTACAAGGTGTTTGAGTTAAGAAAAGATGGGAAAGGAATCTCATGGTGGTATTTCTAGCTGTGACTGCATGTTAGTGCTTCAGGGGTAGATACACTGACTTGAAGAGTACCTCTGGCCGCTTATGCAACTGACTGATCCTATATAGTATAGCTGTAGTTTGTATTTTCCCCAGAATTACGGTATCACAGTCTGTCTGTTCTTACAGACTGCTTCACAACTGAAGGAGTGAAGGGAAGGCAAAGGAGCCGTTCTCATCACTTCCTGCAGGTCTCTCAGCTTTGCCACTGGTAAAAATTGTCAGGGGCTCCTAAAGTGCTCTTGCAGGTTTTTCCTGAATTAAAAGTAGAAAACTTACAGAGTGGTAAGTTATGAAATGAAGTTCTTCGGTTAACTGACACTGAATGCAATGCATTGGTGAAACATCTAGAAGAGATAAAGTTGTGCCATTAAATTACAGGCAGTGCAGTCTCCCCTTGATGGTTTCACCCTTGGTACTTCGCAATGCGACCTGAGTTTCTCCAGTGACTGCACTTGCTTGGTCATATTGACCCCATGCAAGTTGGGAATGAAGAAGAGATCAAGCAACCTACCTCAAAAAAATCATGTACTTTGAACAGCTGCCTCTTGAAACACTTAGATGAAGTTATTAAATATAGAATGTAGGAAAAAAAAAAAAAGAATGAAATGTCCGTAGTTCATTATTGAAATATGTATGTATTTACCATACACTTCTTTAACTTGGTGAAGAAATAGATGTTGATATAGTGGTTCTAACACAGTAACAGGTGGCTAGCCTGCTACAGATAAATACTGCTTGCAGTTCAGATGTTAAGTTTTGAAAACTGAATGTAAACGGGTGTATCTAATTTTGATATTCTGTCTGTGAGTGGTGTAGTTCTAATGTTGGTTTCATTTTTATTATCCTATGTGGTCACACAAATAAGCCTGATTTTATGTTCTTTATTTAACTGTATTAGAGTTGAAAAGTTTCTCTCTTCCCAGATGACTGCTTTCTTTATTCTTCCTTTTCTTTTGACTTAATTAGTCCTAAAGTCGAAACTTACAATTTATAACATGATCATAATATTTGTCTCCTGTAAAACATTCTGGGTCCCACATAAAGTTTATAAAAGTCTGTCAGTACTCTTTTGTCCCATTTTGTCTGCACTTGTCTGTGTGCACTCATTTGCTCTTTGGGTATGCAGGACCTGGGGCAACGTAGCACTTGTCAATGTCTGGAGATTATGATTGCTAGGAAGTAGCTATCGGGCTGGTCCTTTTCCATATCCTAACCTGCTTTTAATGAAAGAACAGCCTGGAGACGGTTTTAAAATGGTGAAGGATAAATATTACAAGTTCTCAGTGTATCAGTGAGGTGAACATGCTTGCCTCAACTGGGCTTTAGTTCTGTGCTAGAGGTTTGTGTGTAGCAAGTTTTCAAGCCTTCCAGCAATAGTGTAAAGGGAGGAGGAGATGGGAAAGCTCTTCCCTCTGCCTTCCTCTCTAACCTCAAGGGCCAGTATTGTTTTTGCAGTTTGGGGCACCAAGTCCTCTGTCCAGTGTGGAGTTTTAGACCCCCAGAAAGAGGGTCATGGGTTAGTGTGTGACAACCAAATTCGGTACAGCTGAACAGTGGGGACATACAATACCAACCTTCAGTTGTTCCTCAGCATCTCTGTTCCTGAAACATGCTGCCCTGAGTAATTTTTGTTGTTTTTTAATATAAAATACTTTTGAGTGGTATTACTACCACAGTCTGCAGTTCTGAGTCATTACATCTTGTCAGAGTTGTCCAGGTTCATTTACCAGGATACAAAGCTTCTGTGACCTGAAATACTTCTGGGGAAGTAGAAATCAAGCTCTATTCTTTTTGGGCTTGTGCATGGTGCTATCAAGCATTATTTTGTTTTCTCCTTTTCAAAGAAGATAGTTTCTAAGAAAAATCAGAGGGCTGAACTCTTATCTGTCAGAGGAGTGTTTTTGTAGTATGATAGTGACACCACCAAGTAAATGGCTCATTCAGTGAAGGCATGGAAGTAGTGTATGAAGATGTGAATCCTGCTGGAATCATCTAGAAGACTGTCTGTGGCAGAGTAAGTGAATAGTGGAACAATTGGTGCTCAATCATGGCCATAGTTCTTTGAAGGAAACATAATTTTTTTTTTTTTTTTTTTTTTTTTCTCCAGAAGGGAGGTGAACTGGTGTGCATGTACTGTGATTGTCAAGGCTGAGCTCTGACCCAGTGGGGAAATGAGTGCAATTTGACACCAGAAACACCCTAAAAGACTCTGAAGACATTTATGTCCAATCATAGTATTCAAGGTATCGGGAGCAACTAGATGCTTCTGGTTTTTCTCTGCTTCTTATAAGCTGAGGGACAGGGTCTTATAGCTCCCTTTGGATTTTGACCACTGCACGACATCCACTACTCTACTTAAAACATCAGCGGTAATGTGGTTTTAAGCTAATAATCTGTAAATAAGTTGAGTGATTTATTGAAATGTTACCCTTCACCCTCCCCTTTTTTCTTTACTTTTTCCTTATTTTTTTTCTCTTCCCCCTTCCTCTGGAAACAGCAGAGCTGCTCCACCAGAGTTCTCTCAGTATGGAGAAGGGATTCTGCTGCAGGGCATTCTGGTTTGGGAGTTCTTGGCTTTAGATCTCACCTCTGCAGCTTTGCACTACAAGAGAGCGTATGTTTGTTAACTTCTGGGCTTGCTACAAAACCTATTTTTTCCCCTCCCTAAAGTTGCTGAGGATGAGTGGGCTGAAGCAAATGTGTACAGGCAGTTATTTATGTGTGTGCATTAATTTATGGGAGAGGTGCCCAGAGCCCTAGGATGGCAACATATCTTCAGAAATGAAAAAAATAGCTTACAACTCGTTCCTTCTGATGTACTAGTTAAGGAGGCACACAGCTATTCTTGTACTGAACAGTAGTAAGAAGTGTGTTCTGAACTTATTTAGATGATAATTGTCTCTATATTCTGAATTGTCTTACAAAAAAGTAAGCAATTGCCTTCTTGCAGATAAGTGTTGCATGTACAGCTGAAGGACTACTATAAAGTGTGCTAAGTATGAGCAAATAGGGTGTGTGGCTGGTTTAGCTCATCAGTAGGAAGCTAAGAAAGTGGGAATTTTAAGAGTTGAGAAATTTTAGACTGAATCTAAGGCAATATTTATGGTGGGTATTTTTTCCCTTCTGGTGTTTTCAGTGACTTCTGCCTGCATTTTTATAATATGAGGACATGTTCCAACACATTCCGTTCCCAGTGCTGCAGTGCTCTTAAGAGCCATGTAGTTGTATGCTCGAGGAAACTACTGAGGAGGCACTGAAGACAGTTTGTACCAGCCTTTTCCCTTTCAAGAGCTGTAAAAGAAATGTCTGCTTACAGGAAGGCTATTCTGGTTTCATGTAAGATAAAAGACTTTCCCACCCTGACAAAGTTCTCAGGAATATACATGGTGGCCAAACCCACAATCTTGACGATTTCTGTGGGGTTTTTGGGTTGGTTGGGTTTTTTTCTTTTTTTATAAAAATCAGGGTGAAAAAAACTAATATACATTTTTATTGTTGAGTTGGAAACATTTTGGGGGGTGGAATTTATGATTCAAATAAAGTATTAGGATTAGCTAAGTAACCCTCTGGAAATACTGGTAAAATATTTACACTCACAAGAATAACCTTTACTTGTTAGTTTTCCTAGTGGCATCACAATTTTCTGACTAGCAACCAGATTCTTTCTTATGACTTTGTGTATTTTGTTTGCAGGTATATTACTACCATTTTTAAACTACAATTGCATTCAGTAGTTTCAAAAATATCTTGTATGGAAGTATCTGCTTATAGGAGGCCCTGGATTCTTCTTTATTTTGATGGTGAGTAAAAGGGATCCAGATTTCTTACTGAGAATATAAAAAAGGAGACAGCTGATATTCTTCCTTATTAAAGAACAACTAGGGTGACCTTTTTGGCCTGAACTGGCAGAAGTTTCCAGCTGCAACTGGCACCTGCAACTGCCACATCTGGAGCACCCAGTTCTGTGTATGTAACTTTCCAAAGAGAGAAGCAATAGGTAAAGCAGATAAAAGCATGTCTTCATTTTTTTCTTACTAGAAATTTGACTACAAGAATGATTGTCATAGCCTGTTTTATAGTTTTATACCATAATCTAGCTGAGTATAAATGCAAGATTTGTATTTTCTACCGCCTCTCAAAAATACTTAGCAGACCCGTGTTCCTACATTCATTGTATTCCCATTTCTGAGCTGTACCCAGTTTATTTTAAAAGATAAGTTGTCTACAGGCATACAAAATCCTATTAACTCAATGGCAGTATTAGCTCAGTTTAGAAGGTGGTAGTGAAAATTGTCAGAAACAGTCTTTGGTTAAAGTTTATCTGATAAAGTTAGACCAGGTCCTGTGCTATTGTTGAAATGCTTCTCTGCCTTAAAAAGTGAAATAGAAGCTAACTTGAGATGAAAATGTTGCACTGCCTGCTTTGGTGAAGTTTCAATCAACAAGGAAGGAATTACAGTTTTTGTTTACTTGTGAAGTCCCAGCAGGCAGCTTCTACATGATCAGTGGAATTCTCACATACATGCATGCACACATGGGGAAGTATGGAAATGGCTCTCCAACACTGTTGTTTTCTCCACACATTATTATTTCTGCGTCCCCAAGTGTCTTAAGATCCAGCTGTGTATAACACGACATGTTGAGTTTTCCACCTTGTATTGGAAACTAAAATTTGCTCTAAGTG